ATTCCAGGTCATCTCTAGTTTGTATTCAGGGCACTATGATGGCCCAATGATAGTTGGATAATGTACTGCGGCCGGTGGCAATCCGCTACCTTCAGGGGCTGCCTAATGCAATTTTTCAGCAGGATAACGCCCGATCACTCAGTGCTCACATCCGCCAACATGCTCTGCAAGGTATACAGATGCTTCCTTGGCCACCGTACTCTCCTAACCTGTCACCAATCGAACATGTGTAGGATGTGATTGGACGCCGTTTGCAGTCTCTGCCCCAGCCTCATTCAGAATGCAAACTGTGGCAAATGGTTGAAAAAGAATGGAGAGTTCGTATGCATCCCTCAGGACACCATCCGCACTCTTATTGACTCTATGCCTAGACGTGTTTTTTCGTGCATCGCTGTCTGCGGTAGTCCTGCATCCTACTGAGCCGACGCTGTTCTCGCTCTGTATTCTGACTATCATTTTGAAATAAAGATCACTTATTGCTGCTGGCTGTCTCTATCTTTTTTCTAAATTTCATCACTTTCTGACCACTCATTCTTGGTGTTGCATTTTCAGTATGGAGCAGTGTATAATTTTCTGCATGAGAAATAACACTTTACATAAATTATCTTATTTCAAAATCTACAATACAAAATATTACACTGTTATATGCATCTTAATTGAAGAAGAATAATTTTTCAGAATCTCTCTCCAAAATACATCTAATTTAACCTAATAGTAGTTTAAAACTGTAATAGTTAAAAAAGGTATTTTACAATTGAAATAAAAATGCATTTACAACATAGATTACATATACAAAAATACAAATATCGTTATATTTCCAAATATACGCTGAGAGGCAAGATTTTGCTCGAAAAATTCAGCCAACATTGAAAATCTAGGTATAAAATGATTAAATTGCATCATAATTTATGCATGATTAAATTTAAAATCACTCTCATCTACAAACCTGAGTGAAAAAAAAAATATTGACTCAGATTTTATTTTAGGAGAAGTGCTTTCAGTAATTAAGCACAACTGTCTTCTTTAGCTGCAGCGGATTAGATAAAATTGCTATATATTACCAAGAGTTCGAATAATTAATTGCAAAACCTATTGGAAAAGCTGAGTGTGGGAAAAAATTCCTCATCCATCTGAAAAGCATCCCAAAATGATTGTATAATCATTCACAGATTTTTGCATTGGGTCATACTATGGACAGAACTGAAGGTGACATTTTTCTATGAGGAATATGATGATAATGATGAAATGGAGGATCATGATTCATTAGGACTTGCCTGTAGCTCAGAGAGATTTCTGAAAACTGCTCTAAAATTTTTAGTCGGATATTCATTAATGTACATTAGGATTAAATAAAATAAAAATAATATTTTTATTAATTTTTATTTAAATAATATTTATTTATTAATTTTAATTATTTGTTTTTGGGATTACATTATTTGCAAGTCATTTTGAACTTGCATAAAAGCCGACCTGCAAATTTCAGAAGCATAAAATTTGTTAAAACTTCTTGGCTTAATACTACATGGAAATATATAATAATTACAATATTTATACTAACAATTATATAAAATCACTTTATATTTAACATTACCATTTTAAATTTGGAGATAGGATGGACATGAATAAAGGCAAGTTAAATCTGAAATTAGAAAGGCACAGCCTTGAATCATATTAATACTTCTGTTATTCCTTCCTTAGGAAAAGGCTGGGCAAGCTGTCCATTCTATTTTGAACAATTAATATACAACAACATACAACACAAAATAACAAATTATTATGTAACAATATAACATTTAATAAATTAATTTATGCATTTAAGAAGTTTGTATAAAAACTGATATTTAAGTCTTTTAATAAATTCATAAATGTCAAAGATAATCATTAAATGTTAATCTGGAAGATTAAATAACTTTAATACATTTTTATGACAATAATGAAATAAAGAGTTTGCATAATTTTAGTTTTGTAGCTTTACATTAATTCTAAAATATAAATAAAATAACATGGTCATCACTGCTCTTCAGCTGCTGAATGAATGATATAGTGATTAGATAAAAGTGAGACAAATTTGAAAATTTTTAACGTTTATTATTATTCATAAAAAAATTAAAACTTACCTCAAAATAATATTCAGTTAGTTCTCTTTCAATGTGCAAATTTAAACTGCTGTGTTAATTTCAAAAAGGAGTTTATGTCATAAATTATCTTTTTGGCCTATCTTAGAAAGATCTGCTATCATACAACTTATGCATGCAAGTATAAATTTGTTTACAGATTCAGTTTAATAATTAAATTCTTCTGAACTTTGAGTCAATTACTGAGTCAAGTTTTTTAGGCCTTTCCCCCCTCCCACTGGACACTTGCTTTTAATAATGCCCCAAAATATTTTCAATGACTCTAATATTGAGTATGTTCAAGCATTATTCAATTTAAACAGACAAGCATTATTCAATTTTCTGGTTGTTGAAATAGTTTAAAGCATTTTTTGTAATACATCTGGTAGTTAACAAAACCTTTTGATTTTGTTCATGCTGTTTGATGACAGGAAACAACCTTTCTTATACTGATTTAAATTAATGAAACCATTTACAATTTTCAGAAGGGGGAAAGAATAAAAAGACTAGTTAGAAACATTATCATTTTCATTTATGTTTTGCTATATCATTATTTTTCTTAATCTTTATCCCAAAGTGAACAGGAATATAATTAGGGAATATTGAATGATAAAACTTAGTGTTGCCACTCGTATTCAGATAAAAAATAAAATATCATTCATTATTTAAGATGAGTTTTTGTGTACTTCTATTCCCAGTTGCTTATAAATTTTATGAAATTTTGTTTTATCCAAATTTCCTTAATCTTTTTTTTTGTATTTTGGAATTATTAATCATGATTTCAACCCCAGATTTCTTTCTTAATTCAGTGACGAGTTGAATTTTAGAGTAACTTCTATTCAAACAATTTTCCAATTAGTTTATTTCTTAAGCAATCACTTCCCCCCCCTCCCCAAAAAATTGGATTGGTATAAAATTTTCTGTGCTCTTCATACTGTTTTAAATAGCTCAATAAATCATTGCTTTTGTTATATAACTAGTTTTGTAATATTTAACACTTTGCGGCATGGTGGGTCAATATATGTCCCACCTAATTAATATTTATTTTCTCACTTAGCAATTTCCGTTAGAAATTTTCTAATCTTTTAAAAATAATCTATTTTAGTTATTACTTTTTTTCAGTAGATGTTACTACTATACCAGGGCTTAAGTTTATAAGCAAAAAATATTCAAAATAAGATCACAAGAGTGATATCCATGTATCTCGCATTTTTCAATATTTAAAAAATTTTGGTATACAATTTATGATATGTATGATTCTTTTTAATATTCAAAGGTAATTTTATTTTCAAAAATCTTAATTGGATTCAATATTTTATAACATTAATTTTTGCCGTTGAAATAAGTGGGTTAAAATTCTGTCCCACCACACACTTGAATTTCCGCTCAATAGATGGCAGCACTCACGATTATTTTTCTTTTCTTTTTTGCATCTACTTTTTTCGCGATTGCGCGCGCTTTTACATCCGTTGTATGATCTGATGTGCTAAAATGTCTAGAAAAAAGTTAACAACTCATGAAGCTTTGGATCTTTTTGCTGAATTGCCATCCGATTGCGACTCAAATGCTTCAGATTTCAGTTCTGATTCAGATGAAATTGAAATCCAAGACAGAATAACTGAGGTTGAAGTTATTGCTGAAGAAGAAAGGGAAGTATTTATAATTTGTTTCGCTTTTTAAAGACACAGACCCATCTATGCATGTGGCTGCCATCTGTGCATGTGGGCACTGTAAATATGAATTGGAAGTATCTACCCAAAAATTTAAAAGACAAATTTATGTCAAGAGAATATATAGACTTTTCAGTTAGCGATGATTCAATTTATTGCATAAAATGGAAGGATAAAAGATCCGTTTCTATCCTGTCTTGCTTGGAAAAGGCAACTGAAATGAAAGAAATTAATAGAAAAGAACGAGATGGAAAGAACAATAACAACAACAACAACAAAAAAAGTACTGTGTCCCAAACAGCATTATTTCATACAAGAAGAATATGGGATATGTCGACTGATTGATCAACTGAAAGGACTTATATGAAATAGGACCGCAAAAGCAAGAAATGGTGGCACATGGATATTTTTTTCCTTTTTACATTTTTAGATGCGAGTATAGTAAACAGCATTTATTCTATTTAAGTTTGTTCGCGAACCCGATCATGATTGTAAAAACAATGAAAGATTTTCTTCTCTCAGTTATAGAAGGTCTAATGGCACTTGCAGGCAAGAAAGAGCTGAAAAGATGAACTGAAATCCCCAGTTCAAATAAAAACTAAAAAACCATTCGTACAACCAGAAAAGAGACTAAAAAATGTAAGTTACACACCAGCCAAAAGAGCAGCAGAAAATGTGCATATTGCAGCACATCGAAAGAAGAACGACGAACATTTTGGATGTGTGAAACATGTGAAGTGCCTCTATACTTACAAAAGAATGAAACAACATGTTTTTCAAAGTTTCATGAAAAATGACTTTTTTCAATTTTTAATCATATATAAATGTTTTTGAATCAAGTGTCAATTTTAATATTTTATTTAGTATCATATGTACGACTATCAAATTTAAATCTTAAAATAATATTCAAGAAAATATTTTCTTTTGTTCCTAACATTTAAAAATATTAAATATATATATGCAAAATGTGCATTTTGCAAAATTTTTCAAGTCATGCATATATGCAATAAGTAAAAAATGCATTTTAGTGTGTTTATTATGAATATTTTAGAATGCACGCTTTATTTTGTTTATTCATTCCGCATATGATTTGTTTTTCCTGCTATACACCGATATGCTATAAGACATGTGCTAGTTGCATGGTGGGACAAACGGTATCCCACCTTCCCCCGTAAAAAATAAAAGCGCAGAATTTTTTTCAAGCCTTAAAGGCACTTAAGTAAGTCCATCTGACTTATTCTAAGGCATATTTTTAAAGATTAAAATATATTTTAAATATGCGTGTCGCAAAGGGTTAAACACAGCAGTTTGGCTTTCTTTTTTTAAATTTCAATTATAAAAACATACTATTTGCTTCTTAACAGCTAATAACCATTTTATATTTGGCTTCAGCATTTAATTGAAACTGCTGTTATTTTGATGGAAAGAACTACTGCTACCATAACAACCTGAAACATTTACATATTTATCATTATTAGTTCATGTTTAATCAATAAAAGTGTCTCATCCTTATCGAGGATTCCCTTAATAATTAATGATAATTAATGCCCAGAACAATCTGATTAAAATTCAACCCTCTGCTACTTTTGAATATAAATCTGTGTTTGATACCTAAGCCATAAGTGGAAACTACTGCCTTAAAAGGTATCAGCGATTAAAAGCTCAAGATTAAAATAATTTAAAACCAACATTTTATTACAAATCAATGCTCTTATCCTTAAAACATCAACTAAGTGAAATCAGTTACTTGTAGAATAGAGTTCAAGATCTTAAAACTGGTTTCAGTAATGAGACAAAGAAATAAAAATGCAAAAGCACCTTTTTCTCAATATGATTAATAAAGTACTCAAATTCATGGTTTCATAGAAAGCTTATCATCTTTGCAGCATCTTTTATAAAAGTAAACATGTCAGTTTACTCTGTTAAAAGTTAAGTATCACAGAAATTGTTTAGGCTTTCACTCCTGCACTGAGTCAGAGAGGATGATTTGAGGCTGATCAGTTTCTACTTTTCTAAGAATACAATCAACTCCTGATTAACTGGAGTAATATTGATGACAATGTCGATTATTAATTAAAAATCATGATTAAACCATGAGCAATTGAAAAGACACAGAAAAATAAATAACCGATATTATAACTAATAAACTAATAATATTTGCTGTATTTTCATGCAGTTTAACCCAGAGAATAAGTTCATTTAGGCTTGTAAATTCAATCAGTATTCAATACAAAAGGATAATAAATAAAGGAAGAATAAACAATATTTAAAATTAAAAACTAAGTTCTAAATGATATTAAAGAACAATATTTATAAGATAGTAACAGACAGTTTACAATTTGAACAATGTTACAAAATTTAAACTCATAAAAAATTTCTATTGATTGGCAGAGTTCATCTGGCAGACATCATCTGCTATCACTGCTGTTAACTCCCCCCAGACCTTTTCTTTTTTCTGCAGACAATTTTGCTTCATAATGATGAATTGTAATAAAAATTTTTTCATCATTTCACAATAAACAAATCTTCTTCCCTCTTTTTTCAAAGACAGGAGCTGATTAATCTGCCAACTTTGTAGAGATTAACAAAAAAACGAATATACAACCATTCAACTGATAAAATATTGTAAAACATAAAATCCAAGAATTTACAATTAAACAAAATTAATAAGTTAACTGCAAAACTCGATAACCTTGAAAATAATTAGAGGATAAGAGTCCTTACTTAAAATAAAATAATCATCTAGTTAAAATAACTATGAATAATGAAAATAAAAGTCATTGCTAAAACATTCATCTACATTTTATGAAGAATTAATTAACTTAAAACATGTGAAGATTTTGAATATAATTTCTGTAATGATTGATACAGAACTGCAGTAAAAGATCAAAACTCTGCTGATTTAAAATCTGCACAGCCACTCAGATGAAAACAATAAAATGTGGACGGCTTTGCTGATACAAAGTTTTTTCAATCACTATCGAAACAAACTACCCTATTCTATTGATTATCGCTTTTAAAACTGTTATTAAATAAAATTTTACCAAAAGTCCTTAAACTTATAACTAGAACAAGTAACTGGAATTTTGGTAATCATCCACAAATGAAGCCAGCTAAAACATTTGCAAGTATGCCAAAGACACAACTCTGCCCCCCCCCGAACCATGGTAAATACTGTGACTCAATATTTTTTATCCAGTGACTTTTTACTGTGATTTTTTTTTTTATATCAGAATGGCAAGTTCTAAATGAACTTTCAGTTTTCCTTTTAACAAATGAGTAACTGTGAAGAAACAAATTAGAACAAAAAACTGTGGCCTGATTAAGAAATAAAAGGCCATTCAAACTACTATATTCTTTTTTAAAACACACTATCATAAATATAAATCTGAAAAATATAAAAAATTGTTTTTTTCTTTATTTTTTTGCATGAATTATAATATACATACATTTCTCTATAAAAAGTCAAAAAGAAATTAATTACTTTTATATGCTTTTTATGGATTTATTTTTTAATCACAACCTTAGATCTCAAGTTGTGTATAATTTTGATCTTTTATTGCATGTTTTTCAACTAAATTAAGATAAAGTATAATTTTTTTCAAAAATCTGATCAGAAATATATTAATGTGAGACCCAATATAATAAATAAAAGAGATGCTTGAAGATGAGAAGATGCTGCTGTGCAATCAACTATTCTTACTGCTTGTAAAAATTCATGACCTAAGTAAAAACGATAATCACGTTTTGACTCAGGAACCACCTTTAACTGCTGGGTGGCATCCTGAAATATTAAATCACTGTAACCCTCTTCAGATACAAACATCTTAAAAGTAAATTCTTCACTATATTTAGACCCATAAAATTCTTGTGCATACAGAAACAAATCAATGTATGCATTTACATACTCTTTTGGCTTGAAACGATCAGTAACTATAGCATTAGAAGCAACCTTTCCAAGATTGCATTCTTTATGCTTGTCAAAAGCTGCTCTGGTTCCATCTCGACAAAGCAGTTCAAAGTCATCTGGCATCATGGGACGAGACCACCATTCTCGATTTTTCCCAGCAGTATTTTCTAATATAGAGGTATGTTTTACAAATGCAATTTCACCTCCACCTTCCACAAGGCATCTTAAAGCACCTGTATCACCAAAAAATGGTTCTTGAGAACTCTTTGAGCAGAAATGTGAGCTTGTACCATGGCATAAATCACAGAGAGTGTTATATTGTGCATCTCCAACAGTGTATTCTCTGGACAATGCACCTGGCACACAACTTTTCTGAAAAAATTCAGCAGCTGCATGTGCTGAATCACATCCGTAGGATCGCATTCTTTCGCTAGAAAGAAGAAAGCTCATAGGCACCACCCACCCAGCTGCCATGCCAATGCCAGTGTGGCACGATCGTTTACCTATTAAAGAAATAAAATTTAGCCTCAAATCTCAAAAGCAAAGAAAAGTATGCAACATATATTCAAAAACATCAACTGGCAATATTTACCCTTTAGATATAACAGATCTGTATCTTTATCAGGCTGTCTAGCAACTGCAGTAACATAATATGCAGGCTCCTCTAAATCATACTGTTCTGCAATAATTGGCATGAGATTATATTTCCTAGAAAAAGATGCAAGAAAATAAGACATCTGTGTAAAAAAAAAAAAAAAAAAAAAAAAAAAAAAAAAACCAATTTAAAATACAAATTTTAATTACTAAAAAAATCTGAAAGCTTTCAGATTTTACATTTTTTTAACCTTTTGTGTGTTACCTTTATTTATTAAATGTTCTTTGCACATACTTGCATAAAATTGAATTCAACAGCAATGTCACAAAATAATTTTAAAATGAGCATATTTTTAGTGGATGATAATGGATGAAACTGCAATATTTAAGGATGAAGAATCTCAAACTACAAATGATCAGAACAGTGCCTCATCAATCTATATCCACTATTACAAAAATGTATGTGTTACCAATATTTTTGCAAATTTTAGGGGTGGAAAGAAAGACCTGCCTTTAATCATCATTAAGGTCAAGGAAGAGAAGATCCAACTTGTTTCAAGCATTTATGTTCTTGAAACTGATAAAGCCTGGTATATACAAGCAACTATAAGAAAGTGGGTTGATTTAATGCTACCATTTAATTTGTGGTGAGGATAAAGATGTGTTAATCTGATAATCAGGCAGCACTCACAACACTAATATGAACAGCTTGCTGGAAAAAAAAAAAAAAAAAAAAAAAAAAAAAAAAAAGAGGATAAATCAAATAATGATTCCTGAATGAATGATTGCTTATTTCCAAATTCTTGATATTGCTGTAAACAATACAAGAATCCTTTATACTTAGAAATCAATGATTGCACTGAAAATAGAATAAAGAGAAATCAGCATGAAAACTTTGTGAAGCCTACAAAATTATGACTTCAGTGAAAATTTTTGGGATAAAATCATATACAGTTGTTTTGTCAATGCACTATGAGCAGGCTGTATGAAGAGGAAATGTGCTTGTTAAGAAAGAATTATTATACACCAGAGATTAAGACTAGGGTTCTACAAAAAATTCCATCACAAAAAATTAAAGCTCGAATTTTCCGTTTGAAGCCTTATGATGATGTTCCAAGAACTAATATGACTACACTTGAATTAATGTAAATTGTTGTAAATGGCTAAATGTTAATTATTTGGCTTGAAAACAATAAGACATTCCCTGAAAATAAGTCCCAATGCTTCTTTTAGAGCAATAATTAATATAAGAATCAATATTATTTTTAGGAAAACACAGTATTAGCACAAACTTCTCACTGAAATTCAACTTTAAATTTTCTTTATTTTCCATGACCAAATAACTCTCTGACAAAGCATAACAAAGTAACTATTAAATTAAGTATGAGTTATTGAATACTTTTAACTATTTATTATAAAATTCTGCTATGAATATTACAAAAATTTTATTCATCTTATTCATTATTATGCAGTAAATAAAAGAAATATATGCAAGAAACATGCATTTAAACCATTCAATAAATTTGCTATGGTTTTTAAAAACAAACATCAAATTGTGTAGGGGGGAACTGTTTATTTTGCAAATGAGATTTATAACAAGAGTACACCATTTGTAATAACTATCGCACCTACGTTGTTTCAAATTAAAACTATGAAACTTAGAATTGTGCTGCAGAGCTACTGTACACTTAAAAGCAACCATGCCTTCTTCGGAACTCGAAACCGAACCCAAGGTAAAGGCACCTAGTTTTCTCATCCACAGGAAACAAGGCAGTGCATTCTTAGGGTAGATAATTTTACTATTAAAAAAATTACTATTAAAAAAATTTCTGCTAATGTAAATTATATATATTCATTCAATCAGTCTTATTTTTATATTAGAAATGCCTATAACTTAATCTTTCCAATTATTTTTTTGTTTCTATTATAATATACTAAAAGAGCATTTACTATCTAGGCACCCTAAAATTATTTACCACTCTATTAAGCATAAGATGATCCTCCATTTTATCATTCAGATGACTTGAAAAATTACACAAATGAGCTGTTTTCCTATTATTATTGTTTTTTCATGAATGTTATATTACACTACCACAGCATTTATCATTCACATGTCCTGAAAGTGCTGCGAGGCCACAGGGCATATACAAGGTGTCCAGGAAAGGATTTCCCAAGTTTCAAAATTAAAAATCTCAAAAACAAAGATAGATAGGGGAATACAACAAGCGGTATATTTATTTTGAAAGCTGTCGGACTATTATACAGAAGTTTTGAAATAATAGCTACAAAAGCTGCCAACAGATGGCACTGTATGCTGGCACCTGATGACTTTTGAATGGGAACATGTCTAGACTGTTTCTCAGTATTTTCTGCAAACTGGAGCACTTCAAACCAGTCTCTGTTGCAATTCTTTGCACGGATTTCCTTGTACTTTTCTTAATAATTCCAGAAACAGTAGCAACATTTTCAGGAGTAACAACAGTTTGCCCGTAACCAAAACTCCCTACCAGATCACTGGCCACGCAGCCTGACCGTTGCACATTTAGGAAAGAGCTTGTGAATGGTTTTTACATTGGATTCTTTTGGAACATTCAATTGTGTTTGAAAACTATGCCTTCTTGCCATTGGACTGTGGGCTTATAAGGTATTTCTCCCACTTCCCTAGCGTGCCTTCGTGGTGAAACGGTAGCACGCTGGGCCGGTATTCCAGAAATGCGTGGTTCCATTCCCAGCAAAGGGGTGCAATTTCCATCTTTTCTGCTTCCAATAACCTAATGACTCTACAAATGGCACCAGAACTAAAGGGTGTGGATTAATTTCTCCGCACCCAGATTTGCGACTAGGTCCCCTAAAAGTAGTCGCCTAAAAAGGGAGTATATAAGGATTTCTCCCATTCACTAGCTGCCCTTGTGGTTATGGTAAGCACGCTGAGCCGGTATTCAGAGGTCGTTCGATTACGCTGGGCCGTGGTTCGATTACCGGCGAAGGCAGTTGCATTTTTCATCTTTTCTGCTTCCAATTAACCTAATGACTCTACAGTCTAACCTCTATTATTCCAGTACCAGAAACACATGTTGTTCAATACAATACATGATTTCAAACTTTTCCTTCTATATGCTAACCTCCTATCACATTTCAAAGATGGAGCTGATCACTCTTGTGTCTTTTGGAGCATTATTCACATGCATTATGTAGCACCATTTGTTTGCAGCTTTTGAAACTATTTTCAATTTATTATGCCTTATAAAATATAGGTTTATGCATATTAAAAAAACATGTATACTTACTGTCCAGCTCGATAAATATCCCCAGCATCAAGAACAACAAGATCAGCAGTGTTTTCCCTAATCAACTGCATACATTTTACTTGACTAAAGCCCTTTACACACACAATATCAGGTCTCAACATTCGAGCTCTGAAGGCTGTCTGCAATAAACATAAGGAAATATTTGACTGAAATTTCTTATATATGCACTTCATTTATGTTTTAGTTTTTATAGTCTTATTTTCTAACACTAATTTTTTTTTGGGGGGGGGACATTGAACACATATTTCTTCAAAATTTTATCATTTTTTTTTGATAAAGTAACAATTGTTAAAAGAATTACCTTCATTTTTTGACATTTCTTCATTTCCTGATCAGATACAACACACAGTCTTGCAGATGGGATAGGACATTTTTCAACCTTCTGCCTAAAACTATGTTGCACAGATCCTGCAATATTAGGCAGACTTATACAAAAAGATTATACAAGGAGAATTAGGAGTTTCATATTATTGTACATTAATTTCATTCACTGCAGTACAAAATTTCATTCTCGTACACTGGCATGAACATCAAATTAATGACAGCATAGATATATAGAAGAAAAAAAAATAATGTGATAAAAAATGTTTTGATACACCACCAACAATACAACTAATAGTTTTGCTCTTCTGATAGCATTTCAATAACTACAGAAATAGTTCAAATTTTTCTTGGCTAAGAGAAGAACAGGATAGCTTTTTTTTTTTTTTTCCTTTTAATATCAACTTGTAACCAAGTAGAACAACTGCAATCTACAGTGCATCTTTCTGAAGGGAATTCCCCATAGAAAAATCTCGAGACAGCATTTGCTTATGTCCTATTAAATCGTTTTGCATTTTGCAATACATGTTTACTAGATTTGTTAAGAAACTGAATAATGTATTACACTATTGTAAGTAAGAATAGAAGTAATCTATTACTTCCAAATACATGAGATTTTTCCAGAAACCTAGAAGTGTTCTTACTTTCATATTCTGGAACTCTATATGATGGAAAATGCAATATTAATAACTGCTGACAACTATCAAAATAAGGACTAGGAACTGGCCTCAGGAAAGTCTTATTTAGAAGAGTTCTTATGGAAGCAGAAATAAGATGTAAAAATTAACAATCTGAGGCAATTTTGAATGTGATTACCAAACCATACCTGCCACAAATTAAAAAAAAAAAAGACTACTTAATTGATGCATCACTAAAAGACACCAATAGACGGTTGGTGGAGGTAAAGCAGGTAAAAGTTAATACCCAAGTGCCAATATTTTGTTATATAAAACAGCAGCTAAATTATTCATAAAAACATGAATTGAATAAGCATATTAAAATTTGGTCATGCACCATGCTTTCAAATTACCTATACAGTATAACTTTACTAAAGACAAATATTTTGAGTGTCAAGCTTAACAGAATTCAACATAAAATGATAACTTAGATGGGTTTTGGAAGGCTTTCTCTACAAGGATGCAATATTGTTTAAAACCATTTAAAACAAAATAAATTTCCATAAATCAGAAAAAAATAATTTACTTATTAAACTTCCATTAATCTATATATACTGCAGAAAAGTAATCAAATTAATAGTACACATTAGTAAATTTTAAACCAGTGGTATCTTCTTTAAGTTAACTGCCTGCAAGTTACATATCACTAAAGATGCTGCTTTGTAGCATTGCTGGTATGCTAGAACCACTTATTTTTAAAATACTATTACAGCTTTCTGGATGCAGTTCACAATATAATAACTTTTCAAGTGAATTTTAAGTTAGAGGAAAAATAATATGGATTCAGATCTTCAAAACAGAGATCTGTGGCACAACTGTAATGCCCTTTTAGAAAGAGATGTGTGCAAAAAGTGGCTTTAACATTATGCAGCATCCTTGAATTCTTAGCTGCATGTAAGCAATTCTTTTTGACAGTCTTTTGAGAACCTCACTGTCATAATGTTGATACATAATTTGATTTTGAGACATGACTTGCTTACGAGTTGACTGTTGAAGAAACAAATCAGCTTTGATTTGATTTTAGTTTTGCTCAAACTTGCTTTTTTTTTTTTTAGAACAAGATAAGCTGCTTTATGTCATATCTGGCTCTGGTATATCATTTCTAGATCTCATTGAAAAATAAAGGATTTATAATTAGTTACCTTTTTATTGAGGAAATTCTTGTTACTTTGAATAATTGCATTCAAAAAAATTCAAACATGTATACATTTTTTAAATTCTATTTTGGCTTAAATTAGATGTTTTTGGGAAACAGTCAGCAACATGTATGCTCAATTAATGAGTTGAAATTGTGCATACAGTAAAATTATTCAAATTCAACTCACTACTAATTACCCTCACTCTCAACAGTCAGACTGCAATAAGACTATCAGACTGTTATACAGCCAGTGTTTAATTAGCCAGAAATTAATTAATTTCTTTCGTCTGGTTAATTTTAAAGCAAATTTTACCAGAAGACTCTTCAATATATATATTTAGCAACAAAATTTTCTTTGATGTGTTAGAATGTAATATGTAGTTTTTAGGTAGCAAATTATAAGTTTTGAAAATTTACCTATGTATCTCGAAAATGTTTGCTGGCTTTCCTCCAATCGAACCAGATCTACAGTCAAATCTTGAAAAAGCAAATTATGTCCCTTGTAGGAGGCATTATATCCAAATACTGAATACTCTCCATTCAAATTCCCTCTTCTTAAATTCCTACACCTTCGCCCACTTTCTCGCCATTTTGGGCCGAAAGCTGAAGCAACACACTATTCAAAACAAGAAAAATATAAAATACACAATCAAATTAAAGAAAAGTCTTCATTAATGAAATCTATTTGCTCATGATAATTTAAATATAACAGACTTACTGACAAGAAATCCTGATATTGAATTTTTCTTTCAGGCAAGGCAGCAGATGTTGTAACAATAGCATTAGCTGGAACATATCCCCAATTGCAATTCTTATACAAATCTACTGGAGCAGTGAAACCATTTGGACAAACAAGTTTTAATTTGTTTTTGCTAGGTCCCCTATAATCTCGAGAACTGGTCATTTCGTCAACTGTAGTATGCTTTAGAAAAGCAATATCACCTCTGTTAATAAAACAGTTAAATGCACCATCAAAATTAGCATATGGATCACTTCCAGAACAATGTGTACTTTTATCTCCTACACAAAGTTCACACATATGCAAAGGATTGTCACCTAAAACACGTGAAAAAATGTTATTAAATAATATTCCAAAACAAGAGAAGGTGTAATTAATTAACACATAAAAACCACTTTTACAACATCATTGTAATAAATGTGAAAGTCACAAATATATTAAACTGACGCATATACTGTATTTGCAAAATTTCTTATCTCACCTTCATTTACTCAACCATCGGTTCTAGACATATAATTCCAATTACAAAAGTATTTTAAATGACACAAATAATTTTTTAATTAAAAAAAAATGTATAAAATATGAAACCTGATTTTTCATACAATCCTACTGTCTCTATATTTATATTTAGGAAAAGTGTATTATAATTTCATATACAGGGTGTACCATAAATGTTGCGACAAACTTCTAGGGAAGGTAAGGCACATCATAAAGATTAAGGAATTGCATAGGAACCTACCAGAAAAGTCAGGGGTAAGTGGTAACAGAGGAAGAAGATGGGAAAGGAAACAAGAAAGTGATTAATTTTAAACATTTATTGAACATAAATACAAACGGTGTTTCAACAGCTTGAATGTTACAACAAGATGTTCGAAGTTTGCACCATCAGACGCCAAACATGCCGGGAGTTTCATTGATTGCAGCAGCTGCGCAGGCAAGGCTTGCCACGAGATCCATTTCAAATACAACAGGATCACAACACATGACACTTTTGATGGCTTCTCACAAAAAGAAATCAAGGCTCGATAAATCTGGTGAGTGTGTGTGGGGGTCAGGGAACTGGTCCACCATCCCCCCCCCAATTCATCGATGCAGGAATGAGCTGTTCAAATGGCTATGAACATCCGGTCGAAAATGACTCCAATTCTTTAATGACCCATAGTCATACAAATTTTGATGCAAAAGTGCAAACAAACTGTGGTGTGGTTGATGTCTGTTGGGAAAGCGTTCTCATTAAATGCATGCAGTGGCTAGTCCATTACCTTCAGCTATACTAAGTACATGTGTACAAGCTCTCCGTTCGTATAGCGTTCCATGCTCTTCATATGCTGGCTACTGCTCGAATGAGGCAATTCTCACTTTCCACTAGCACTTTCCTGTACGGCGCACAGTGACGTTTCTGGGCATGGGTTCCTATGCAATTCTTAATACTTATGATGTGTCCTACCTATCCTAGAAGTTTGTCACAACATTTATGATACACCCTGTATATGTAACACACAAAAAATTTGAACTCTTGTATATATTTAATTCCAAAATCTGTGATTTCTGATATCATTTTCAGCTAGCTTTGAGATTGTATAATAAATAAATTCAAATAGTTCGAGATTATTACACTTTCCTTTAATGCCATTCATTGATATTCTTTTCTGATTTACTAGCGTTACATTGTTTAATTTATAAATTCTGTTATAATGAGTATGCTGAGAGAATTTTTACACATTTAGATTAAATAATTTTAGAAATTTTTAAACCTTAAAAAGTGCAATTTTATTACTTTAAAATCCTAATTTAATAATCATATGAAAATTTTATCAAATTAGAAATATTATAAATTTTCAATTAAAGGAAATAATGATATGGCAGTATGACAGCACTTAAGCTTGCCATTGTTTTCTAGATTATGAATTCTGTGATGTTCTATAAAAGTGATCATTCTTGTGGGAAAAAATTATATTCATCAATACTTTTACTATAATCTGTATAGAAATGCTTGTCATTTAAAACAGAACCATTATCCTAACAAACATGAAGAATATATAAAAAAAGAAAAGAAAAATCTAAAAGGGTTTAGATTTTAATAATGGCCAAAATGGTCCTTTTAAAGTTTAATATGATTTGTCAGGTGATAGACATCACCCAGGTAGAATAGTGAAACGTGTTATAGAATATTAAATGAGATTAACTTGGGAACATTATCCATTTTCTGTATAATTAAAAGTGAAAAATGTGTAATGCAATTCTATAAAAATATTTAATATTTTTAACATCATGGATTAAATGCATTTTTATTTAAATCTATCAAATTAAAAAGTATAAAAATATTTTCTTCAAAACTGCATTTATTTTTTGTTTGTTTGTCTGTTAATTAGTAACATACAGATTAAATATAAAAGAATAATATATTACATTTTTCTGAATGGCAACAGATTTAAATGAAAAGTGAAACAATGCAAAATCGCATTTCAATACTAATAACCTTTTTGGACAAAAAAAGGTTTTTTGCAATTTTTACAAAATTAAATTTTATAATTTAAAAATATTAAACATGAATATCTGTATCATTTAAAACATTTCTAGAACTGGAAGTATATAGTTGCAGAAATGAAATTACAAAGAACACTTACAAAGAATTATACAGAATTTAATTTAGAACATTTCTTCTATTGAAATTAAAAATTTTTAATCATCCTGATGAAGCGTAATGTAATTGTTATTATGTTTCAACATGACTAATTGGATAATATTGTACATTTACTACAAAATATAATATTATAAGGACATTATAAAAATTTAGTTTACCATACTTATTACTATGAAGCAAATGAAATAGTTATATATCTGAAATATGCCTCTCAATCATTCAAAAAAGAAGGTAGGGCTTTCGAAAGAAATATCAAATTATGGAAAAAAAATTCTGAAAATGGAATTTGCAAGAAATTAAGTCAAGGTGCTAGTGCTAGTACACAAATACTCTTTTCATTTGACGAGGTTGATCTATACTTTTTGGAAAAGTTCTGCTTTTTTTCCAATATTATCAAAGTGTGTACATTTTCTATGAGAATTTTTCATTTCCCTAACTTTCCCATTCAGCAAGAATCTTGTAAAAATTGGTCTCCTAATGTCTAAAAGATAAAAATAAAAAAATTTGTTGCTTATCCTTGCACTCGAATGGCATCATTTACTTCTATTGACAGTAAGTTAAAATTACAAATATGCAGCAATAAGTAATTTCTCAGAATAAAGTTACCAACCAAATATCTAATAGAATTCAACCAGTTTTATTTCAAAATCACTTTTGCAAGATGTTTCCTAATGCTGAAGATTATGCAACAAAGTAGCAATATATCAGACAGGTCAGCTTTAAACATTAATAACTCTGAATGCGCATATAATAGAAATACTTTGCAAACTGCAAATAGAAATTTTATTTATACAGTAGTATGTTTTGACAAGGAGATAATGTTTAAGCATCTTTCTAAACAAGTGGATGAGTGAAGCTGACAACTGATTACAGTATTTAATGATATGTGATATATCTGTGAAAAATTACAGTGCTTTTTATAGACTGTTTACAAAGTATTTTTATTATATGCAAATCCATATTTACTATGAATATCCAGCATACTCCAATAATAAAACACTGAAACCAAATCTTTATTATACTTTATGGAAATACTCAGTGAAAACATTCCGAGTCAAATAAATAAGAACATTCATAGTATCTAAAAATTAATTTACCAGTTGGGTTATATTTATCAATCAGAGAATTTGGAGCACAACTAGGGCCAAAAAAGGCAGCTGCAGTTTTTATAAGATTATTGCAATCCTTCACTTCCATAACATCCGCATCAATTAGAGTAGAAATAGGAATCATCCAGCCAGCCATTTGTCCAACACCTGGAAAACAGGCCCTTTTCCCTTTCAAGTCAGTTAGTGTGTTTATATTAAATGTATCTCTAACAACAGCAACAGCATAATAGCCATCAGCTTCATCTGCAAAGACAGATAATTTTTTTATTACAGTTGAAATTATATGCTAATAAACAATAGAAAATAACCGCAGAAAATTTTTTTAAAACAATGAGATTTCTTTTTATCATGGTTACAGTTATACCACTAACAAATACTAAAAAATAGGACAGAAATATTTAAAAATTATTTCTATTTTTTCTTTAAAAAATGTAATGAAAATATTCGTGTATATGTAGAAACATTAATGAACATTGTGAATTTAAAAATACCGGCTTCATAAGCTTTAATATCTTATACAAATGAAAAACAATCACTAAAAGCACACTACTATTCTAAAGATATCCAGTACATAACCAGCAAAATATTGTATCTTATAAAGAGAATATTATCACTAATGCATTATGTATGAGAATTTATGTGGAGACCAAAAAATGATATATACAAAGATGTAACAGCTTTTAAAATCTTCAAACAACAAACAACTCCACCCCCCAAAAAATGAAAGAAAAAGTCCCGACTAGTATGAGTGTTTAAAGACATTTCACATAAAAAACACTTACTTTTTAAACATTTATTCCCGCCCCAACGCAAAAAAAAAAAAACAACAAAAAAAAATCAGTATTTCATTTGACTATGCTAAAAACTATTATTTTTCATCACCACAAAGTATGTTGTCATATACGTCAACAGCTCGGTTAATGGAGCATAGTAATCAATCACTTCTTTAAAAAGGGATTTCTGTTTCCAACCCCCCTAGCCATTTTTCTATGGGTGGGAGTTATCAGATCTGATAAGATCCACATCATATTCATTCGTATTCACTCTCGAAGTTTTCTGGAGTGAAGTAGTGTGCAGCCTCAAGAACATCTTTTGCCTACAGGCAATGGAAATGATTTGATGTTATTATTACTATATACATATAAGAAACCTGTCTACAGACACACTCATTTTATACTACCTGCACAACTGAACTTTATTGTTCTGGCATGTAATAAGTTATAATCTGAGGAGAATCCAAACATGCTATTTCCATTTTCTTGAGTTTCCACAAACTTGCACTTTCACAATTTCAGAAGCTGTCCTTTTGTTATTCTCTACTAAGCATTTCTGAACAGTGCAAAATAACTTTTGCTGATCTGAAACTGTAACAACAGGCATTACATTACAACTTTGTCCTTATTAATAATAATCTCTTTTCCACAATCCATCCAATGAGCATCTTTACTGCTACTTATAAACTAAATGCTCTATTTAACAAAGTGTTTAAAAGTAAAATCGGAATTTTTCATACAACGCTCTTATTAAGTATGTCTAGCAAATAAACATAGGTACTACTTCTTCATTAGAGCGGCTTCCCAAGATTGAATCACCAATCAACCAGGATATCTTGCCAAAATCTGGCTGAGTAATCTTATACTATGTCACATGACCATATATTATCCCAGGCTGCATGTTCTTATAAAAGATGTCTAACCTGAAAGAGGACCCGGGGAAAGTGTGATAAAATCTTATAATAAAAAGGAAATGAAACCAAATTTTAACATGACATACATTTATGTTTGAAAAATGAAAGTGCATTAGAAGAGGTGCTGGAAGTATGCCTCCTATCTATACCCACAGTTAAACATGGCGCTAATGTTCGCGTATGTTGCTGCCAGAGTATTGGGTGTCATTCCTTGGATTTCACGATGGACGTTCTGATACAAATCGTTGATGTGCATGGTTTATGTTTGTATGCATTACCTTTAAGACAACCCCATAGAAAAAACTCAAGGTAGATCAAGTCTGGAAAAGTGATTTCATCACCTTCATAATCATTACAGATGTGTGACATGTAGCCCCATCTTGCTAGTAAGCAGTGTCAACTCCTCATCATACAATTAGTTCATAAATTCATGAAAAAGTGTCTGGTACACTTCATTGATGACAATAATGTAAAAAAATTGGCCTGATGATGCACCACTGTGGTAATGCACAAAATGCAGCCATCTTCTGTGAATGAAAGGGTTCCTCGATGGCTGCATGCTGGTTGTCACTACTCCATAAACGTGTGTTTTGTTAGTTCACATATCCTGACAAGTGGAGCTACTCTACCAAGTGTAATCTGAGATAAATATACAGGACAATGCAACGCTTTGTTGAATAGTGTATACAGGTGGGAGGAAGTCACTTCCAGCACCTCTTCTAATGCACTTTCATTTCTCAGACATAAAGGCAATTTATACAGTACAAAGTCTTTAATCCGGACTTGCCGGGACTTCGGCGATTCCGGATTAGGGGTTTTTCTGGATTAAGAGCAACATTAAATCTGGTAATGGCCGCAAAATATAAATTAAAATATGAACCGTAATATGAAATAAAGAGCATTATGTCTAAAGGTATCAAATTTACCAAAAAAAAAAAAAAAGCTTGATATTATTGTTTACTTTATATTAACATTCTTTCAATGCACATGCGTAACATACATTCGCATATCAAATAAAAAATTGCAACCAGCATGACTATTTGCGTCTTTATATTTTATAATGACACGGATTGATTTAAATATATCAAGACGGTACATCGAGATGAATCCATTGTCAGGACTCGCCATCCATGAGGTAGTGTTGACGGATCACTTCCAGTTCATTGTGCGCTGCGACATCCCCCCCCCCCGCAGAACAGCGTGAAATGTTAACATGGTAGAGAACCAAACACTTCTGTCACTTTCTTCATCCTTTATCCTTTTTTGCAGCAATTCCACTTTTGCTTGATGGCATCGAACATGCTTTCGCTTTGTCCGTTGGCATCTCCAGAATCGGACGCTTTTTGGACAAAATGATTCAAGCTTCTTTTATTGCTTTAACGTCCAAAATAATCCGCTCGATCCAATAAATTTAAGGAACAAGCTCTTCCCACCGAATAATATTAGTAATTTTAGCCTAGCTTATACCGTGTTTCATGAACGCGCAGGAATTCGTCTATTACATGCCCAATTTGAGCTTTGAACTGATCTCGATTACTCTGAATACATATCGTTAATAAAATAGCTACCTAATATTTTGGCTATGATTTCATTACAAATTTTTTAGCATATGAAAAATTTTTGTTGAATTTGCCTTGTCAACATTTCTTAAGCATTTAAAAATCTATAATCATTTAAGCGTAATGTTAGCATAAAGGTTGCCATACTCTTGTTATTCAATTACTAATCTAAAAAAAGTTTTACAATATTATTGCATAAGTTATTACTGAAGCTGTCATGTATTGATAAACTGTGGTGAAGAAAGCAAAATATAATAAATAATGACTTGCCAGGTCGACATCATGGATATAAATAGGTGAGTGTTTCAGGTTTGAGATGTATGCCAAGCAGATAATCAGCTACAGATCCAAATTATTAATCTCACAAATTTATGCTTACATGATTGTTTTTTCCATAACGAGGTTTTTTAATTAGTGCCTAACTGAAATTAAGAATCAGAATTTTTAAGTGAAAATCTCCACATGTTTTATTATGGAAGGAAAAATCAATTGCGCATGTGTCAAGCATTAATTAAAAAAAAAAAAAAAAAAATGTTTGTGGCTTTCAGGTCCGGATTTTAGATCATTCTGGATAATGGACGTCCGGATTTCGGACTGTACTTATTTTTCCTGAGATTATCGAATTTGCACTGCTTTCTTAAAAATACATTCATTGCTTTTTTTGAGTGTATGAATATGACATTAACAATCTTTAATTTACCAAGTAATTATGCGGATGCCATATAATTTTTTTCCATGAAAGAAGTCTTTTTACCTGACAAATGAGTATGCGAAAATGGCCACAACATGAAACTTTATGTTAATGATGAATCCAATGTTATACAATGATGTGCAATGTTAAAAAACTTAAAAAAGGGTTGCCATGTTGAAAATTGGTTTCAGCGGTTCCAAAATATCTTTGGTCACTGTTGTTGATTTATGTATTCTTGGGCAGAGGAGTTGATTTATGTATTCTTGGGCAGAGGATTTATGTATTCTTGGGCAGAGGATGGCTATGAAATGATGTAACAGCTTAATATGTGTGAAAATGCTGCAGTTGACTGCAACAATTACAGTAAGACCCTGCTTAACGCTGTTTCGGTTTAGCGCTCTTTTAATTCAACCCGGGGATTCTCCGAAATTGTGCGCAGTGCTAGGTTTCCAAATAACATATCCGAAACATGTAGTTGTGTTTCTGCTTGGTGGACCATTTTTATCATTGAAACATTTGTGACATTATTGTAGTTTAAATTTGTATAATATATATGATATACAGTGACAAATATTATGATCTTAGTTTTTATCATGGTGATAAAAAACAAGAAAGAAGCCCAGAAAAGCATTTCATTGGAAACTCAATGCAAGTGATTAGAAGATTAGATTATGGTGAATGTCAAATCTCAAATTAGTGCTGCATGATTTTGGCAACTTCACAATAAGGACAATCTAAGAATAAAGAACAAAAAATATGTCATCGACAACTGCAACTCCGTCAAGCTCTGCAACTAGAATTACCCGTTCTAGAAATAACATTATAGCGGAAATGGAAAACGACTGTCTATATGGATTGACGACAAAATTAACGCAATATGCCCTCCAATCTATCATAATGCCTTCTAACAAAGGCAGAAACTGGAAACCCAGAGAGACTGAATGATCTGACTGAGAATTTTATTTGTTTTTAAAAGTATCTGCGTTTAGATTGTTTTTATTTTTGTAAGAAATAAATGTTTGATTTTATTTTTATTAAAAAAAACATTATTAAATTTAATGCCTAACCATTTTTTATCCGTCTTTCCCTAACCCCCATTATTTACATGTTAAGATAGCCTCGCTTAGCGCTGTTTCGCATTACGCTCTACTTCGATGGAACGTATCCCCCGCGTTAAGCGGGGTTTTACTGTACATGTAATAAAATAATAATAAGTATTAGGATAAGGAGTCTTAAAAATATTCTTAGGAAATGACATGTATTATTGTTATTGTATAATTATATATTGTTTTGTTTATTTTTAAATTCGTGCTTCATGAGCTAGGTGAAATTATTGCCAAGATCTTGGTAGAAATTTAAAATCACCAAACGTCGTTAGGGGCACTACAACAAAGAATACCAAACATAAAAATAATGCAGTACTCTGTGGTACTTTTCTTGCAGATCTTATCAAAAGTGATTATTTTAAGAAAATTTTGTAAATGAAAATACTGCATGCATATGTTTGAGTTAAACTCATAAGAAATTAACAGACCATAATAATGTTACACTATGATATGAATTGGCCACCTTGTATGTATCGAATCCATAATGAAGTAAATTTTATAAAGCTGTTACAAAAAAAGAAAGCATGTCCCTTCATGAAATGTGTGATTCTGTGACTTAGAGGGCCAAATCTTTTCATTTAGGAATACTTAATTTGAAAGCCATCTGAACTTTTGTTATTCTATATTTAAATAAAAGTACTGGATGGCATAGGTACAGGAGTTACTAAAATATTTTTAAATGCTTTTGTAAATACTGTTATCAAATCGAAAACTGACTGAAGTTTGGAGGAAGATATTACTCTTTAATTAGTTAGATAATTATAGATTGCTCTTTATTTAGTTAGATATTCAACAGATATCAGTTATGGATACAGCAAATAAAAAATAAACATCAGCTCAAGCCTAGAGATTATTTGACAAAAAGTTCAGATGGGGGGGGGGAGCAGTATACAGTTTTAATACTCTAAAGGTTTTGGTTATAAAATGAATTTATCATATTTTGAAAGCATATTTTTATTTGAAGTCCTTTCCTTTTTCTGAGCATGTACATAAGCAAGAAAAGCTTTAAAAGAATTACATTAACAGCCTGAAAAAAAATATGCAATAATAAGGCTTAGTTCAGATTTTAGTTTGGTTTAGTTCATTACGGCAAAGCACATGAGGGCTATATGTCTAAAGGGAGGGATGCCTTCATGAAGGACTTTCTACGGGAAACTGGCTTGTATATACGTTACACATGGGGAAAACCATAAAAACACCCATGCAGGCAACCTGTTCATCGGTATATAACTCCAGACCAAACTAGCAGTGTTTAGCGACTTTACTGCTGGACTGCTGGAGGGCCCATTCAGAAGCATGACTGTTTTTATTTGATGAATACAAAGACATTTATTTAATCCCAGATGCATACTAATGAAAATACAGCAATTAACTTACATCTTTCTTAACAAAAATTAAACTTGTTTATCGAGAATAACTTTGGGTTACATAAAATTAAGGCAAATATCTTATGGGCATGATGCAACATCACACTTGAACATTAATACTTGTGTTGAATCAAAATTGTGATTTTTTTAAAACTGGAAATGGTCAATAGGAGAATACATAACATTAAAATTTATGTACAAGTTTTACTTAGATAGCATGCAAAAGATACATACGCAAATATAACATTCACTTGATAACGATGCATTATCATCAGCAACATTGGCAAAACAGACCCTTGTGGGCCCTGGCCTTCTTTAGAAGCCTTTCTCATTCCACCCTCCTTCCAGCAATTGACCTCCAGTTCTTAATTTTTAGTTGTAAATTATAAAGATTCCAATACTCAAAATTATTACATAAGAAAATATTATACAAAAGACTTTACCTGATTCATACCGCTCAGCCATAATAGGCACCAAGCTATTATAACGACCAGCTATATACACTTCTCCAGGTTCCAGCATTATCAAATCAGCTCTACCTGCTTCAATGAGAGTCATACATTGATCTTTATCTGCTGCTTGATGGCATGATAGACTTGTTTTCAAATCAAAAGTTCTATTTACAGCTCTTGAAAACTCAGTACATTTCTTTTGCTCTTCTTCACTTACAACACACCAGACAGCAGAAAGACTTTCTTGTGATTTAACTAAAGAAAGAATATAGATATATATTTAAATATGAAATTTAATACAGCTCCTACAAACCGTAATTTTCTTTTGAAGTGTAAAGAATGATAAATATTCATATTTTATTCAAGAAGCACATAGTAGATTTAAGAAGAAATTTAGCATAAGATGTAAAGGAGTTTTACTAAATGAATAACGTTACTGATGTCAAGTAAATATTATTAACCTTACCACACTAACCTTTTCTAAGAACTATGAAGAACAGTAAAAAGTATATTGGAAACGATTTTGTAAAAATCATAGTTATTATAGCGGTTGGTCAATAGCAGCTCATAGACCAACCTCTTTTTAAAACCGTATTTAACGGTGAATGTCAACAAATATTAAAGGTGTGTCCAGCCTTTCTAAACCATGTTGCCACTTAAAGAACATTTTTGGATTTAAAAACTGCCACTGAGAATATTTTTTAAACTTTAACAATTATACGATGTATTTAATTCAAGTAAAAACTATTAACTTAGATAATGTATTTGATCTGAACATTATGCACAAAGCTAATTCATTTAATACGTTATACAATAATACGTAATCCGTAGCTTAAGGCCTACTTTAGTTCAAACATTTAGTAGTCAGAGCCATCAGTTGCGATTGGTTTTGCTGTTTCGGCATTAATTTGAAATCATTTATATCTGAAACAATGTTGTTCGATTTTTTTTTCTGCCTTCAGCAAAAAGTGGTGATTTATTGAGGTTTCAGTCTATTAACTACTGGTGCCAAAACTCCAGTAATGTTAATGGTTCCTGTGATTTACTGTTTTATATGATGGGATAAAGTGTTTAAACAAAACAAAAGAGTTGCTTTTTACAAATAGTTTCATGTGTGATAATAGCTTTCATATGGTACTTTAGCAGTGTAGATATCTTTTGCCTATCCATTGTTTTCCATTATGCTAGTATTTAAATTTTTGGTTTAAGGGCAAAAAGACTATTGAGATGCACTAAAAGCTATTTTGTTCGTCTGTAATTAAAAAAAAAAAAAAAAAAAAAAAAAAAAAAAAACAAAATAAATAAAATAAAATAAAATAAAAAATAATAATAAAGTGAGTATATGTAGGAGTACTAAATGTAAAGCGACGGTCTGAAAATACGTACTTCCTTTCAGCCTATACTGGTAAAAATAACCTAATTTATGAAAACGTTTTGAATGTTTTGTGTTGTAATTTCCTGTTTGGTTACAGTCACTAAGTTTCCTGTAAAACACTATGATTTAAGGAAACATTATTCCATGTATAGACCTAGATTTTATATATGTGCGTAGTATTATACACGATGTATAATTGAATGGAAATTGACTAATGAGTAATTTGTAATTTTAGTAACCATTAAAACAAGATGTCAGTTACGGTTCATCAGATTCTGAATGACGCCAAACGTCTTGTTAGCAGGTTGCGAGAACATGATGCTGCTGCTGATAATATAATTGCTCAGACTCAGACCTTGTATAAAAATGTTGAAGCTATGAAAGAAGTAAGTATGTATTAAAATAATTTCATTTTATGAACCTTACGTAAAATTTTCTGTTTCTACAAAATTAAGAGGTGTTTGACATTTTTCGACGTGTTTTCGGTCACAGTCTGATTATTTTCACTGCTTCCTTAATTTTTTGCTTATTTGTGCGTGCAGAAGGAAATATTTGTCCAAATTCTACAGTATTCATTTGAGCATTGCTTCTGTTTTACAAAGTTATAATTGATTTTCTGTTTACTGTTATTGTACTTTGTGTTCAAAAAATGAACCATCAAGTAAGGAAGAAATGATGTTTATAAGATTAATATCTTATATGTATATTTTGTTTATTAATCTCGATCATTATGAAATATTTTAATTTTTAAAAGGAAAATAACCTTTTACTAGTTTGTCAGCTTTGCATTTTCACTCTTAAAAGATGATGCAGTTATTCTAGTCTAGGCAGAAAATTTTTAATGAATTCTAATTTTATCATTTAAATTATCAATGGAACAGAAATGGACTGTTGCTAGTCTTAAGGAATATTATTGTAAAATGGGGTGGAGTAGACTTTAAGGTACCCCTTGTATTATGGCGAAGTTGTTTCATTTATAGTAGCCTGAGTAGTTGATTGTTATGGAAACCCTATTGTGATGTAATTGGGTGCATGATTCTGGGAAATTTTGAATAATGGGATGTTTTGTAAGCGTTTTTGTGGTGTGTGTTAAAACCGTTTAGATGGATTTGAATTGGTTTGTAGGAAGAAAGGTTCAAATTGTCACTATGTGAAGCATTCGATCAGAAAGAGTACCTGGTTTGAAAAAAGTCATTTGAGTATGATTGATATTTTGATTTTTATGTGGCTCTGGGTGTACGAAGCAAACTCGAAAATCATGGTAAGTGAATTATTTGCTTTTGGTAATTTTGCTTAAATGGTATTACATGTAAAACATGTTTTTCCTTTTTTATGTTATTTTATTGTTTGGTTTAAAATGCCTATTTTATTGAGATTATGTATTTTTTGTTTGCCTATATTGTAGACTTTGGTGCTTCTTTGACTTTTTAAGTGAAAATATATCAATGTGTACATGGACAAAGTAAAGGGAGTGGCGCAATGCAAGTTTGTGCAATTCTGGGAATTTTTTTTTAAGTGAAAATAGGTTGACGTGTACATGGATAAAGTTAAAAGAGTGCGCAATGCCATTTTTGTGCAATTCAGGGAATTTTTTTAAATGAAAATAGGTCGACGTGTACATGGATAAAATCAAAGGAGTTCGCAATGCCATTTTTGTGCAATTCGGGGGGGGGGATTAAGTGAAAATAAGTCGGTGTGTACATGGATGCCGAGTTTGTGCATTTGTTTGTCTTGTTATTTTGGCTTTGTGTAGCGGCGATTTTTGCGCCAAAATTCGCTGCTTCGCAAGCCAAAATAATGAGTCAAAAAATTGCACAAAATCGGTATCCATGTACCGCCAAAAATCGTTAAGTTTCGTCAAGGGGTACCCTAAACTATACTTTTACCATAAAATGTATACGTTTCATAATTGATAGTAAATAATTTCATATTTGAGATATGTTTTTAGTTTTAAACTTGTAACGTTTAGCTGACTGATATTTTTTCTTAGCATGTCTTAAAATGTCACATGTATTCTTTTCATTAAAGCTTCAAATGCTGTGTTGTCTTATTTTAGCCCTGCAGAAAGTAGTTTTAAATGATAGTATATTAGTAAAGTGACATATTCGGAGATACTGTTGACTTTTGAAACTAGGTAAGAAAAAGCAACCTTAGTTTGGCATAAGTTTTGAGTAAAATTGGTTTTCCCAGCTCTAAATTTTACATCAGCATGTTTCTCTTTTAATTTGATACTGCTGACTGTTTTATGAGAAATGCTTATATATCCTGAAATATATGTTATATAATATACTGTAATGTTGTTTAATAGGTTTTTAAGTAAGAACATACAATAATTATCAATGCTATTGTTAAATTTTTGTTCTGGTGTACAACCAGTGACATAAGTAACATACAATAAATAAGAAATTCTGTGCAGTTTCATTGTAGGATGTGTAACAGTAAAGAATTTCATGTGAAATTCATCTGTATTTTACAAAAAGATTTTCTGTTTACTTCATATAATTTAGTATCTTAAAGTGTAATCATGTATACCAGGTTGGTTAACTTTATGTCTGTTAGCTGTCTGTTATGATAGGTAGCTCATGGTTTAGTATGTAGATTGTAATACATATTTAAGAAAAAAATGTGATAAAAATTTTTTCCTGAAAAAAGTGTCATGAATAGTGATGGGCAACTTCGGTACTTTCTTGTACCCGGTATGAGAGTAACGGGTACAGACAAGTACCCGGTACAAAATACCCATTACTCAAGTAACCGTTACTTTGAAAAGTACCGAAAACCGATTTTAAGTACCGAGTACCCAAGTAACGATTTGGAGTACCGAAGTAACGAAATACCGGAGTAATGGTTTGCTGTACCGGAGTACCCTAGTAACGATTTGGAGTACCAAAGTACCCTAGTAACGATTTGGAGTACCGAAGTGCCCTAGTAATGATTTGGAGTACCAAAATCGCAGCTAACGATTTTGCGCACTGAAGGAACTCTGCCACATCACCACGTGTTTGATTTTATCTGTACGGAGTAGATTTTGAATATTAGAAAACATATCAACTACAGAAGTGTCTGAGGAGCAGGCCATTCATGGACACAAGAAGTGCATATCGCCATTTCGCAAATACAACCAGATACTACTATCCTCGTACCAAAACCGAAGTGAGCTCAACCCTCATCAATCCTCCAGTAACAAATACCGAAATACCGAGAAGAGACGCATATTTTCGTTACAAAGTAGTGAATACCGAAAAGCACCCGTTTCGGTACAGAAGTAACGAATACCGAAAAGTACCGATTTCGGTACTGAAGTAACGGGTACTTGGATGTACTGATTTTCAGTACCCGTTACAAAATACCCGGTTCGGTAGTACCAACTCATCACTAGTCATGAACTATCTAATAAAATTTTCACTTTTAACTACATTTAAAATTGCATACTTATAATTTGCAATAGGGGGAGCATATATTATTCAAACATGACATTTATTAATAAAGCTCTACTCTTATATGCACCATAAGTTTGCTAAAGGCGGTGATATGTGTTGAGCGCTGGTTTTTGATGCAATTGCGTGTTCTGCGATGGTTTGGGGGCAATGTTGGTTTTTATGACAACTCTTTTTACGTGGAAACTTAGATTTGCTAGTTGGTTTGTGTGGTAAAGTGATTAAAAGATCATAGGGCATTATTTCCTATGATAATAGCCCACGTATACTTCTCCATTTACGTATTGATTGTTTTAATTCAGGGTTGTTCAACTTTTTGGGGAAGAGCGCAACTATGTGAAAAAAATATGCGTGTCAGTTCCAACTTTTTCCAATATATTAAAAGATATGAAAAAGGGAGATAATGTTATTTGTAGGCTGATATAGGATTTTTATGCAAGTAGCGAATTTTTTCCCTTCTTGTAAGTCTGAGTAGTGGAGATTTAAAAAATAATATGATAAATAAAACAAAATTGTGAACTGTATATTTACAGGTACCCCTTGGTGAAAATTGGCGATTTTTGGCGGTACACGAGTTTGTGCAATTCTTTAACTTGCTATTTTGGCTTTGTGTAGCAGTGATTTTTAGCTCCAAAAATAAAAATTGCCGCTACACAAAGAAAAAATAACAAGTCAAAGAATTGTACAAACTTGGTATTGTAATATCTTGTTATTTAATAAATAAATATAATTATTGTTGAAGTGGCAATGCCATATTTGTATTGAACCGTTGTTCAGAAACGTGAGATATTGTTTTAAAAGATTAGTACTCTGAAGATTTTGCCAGCTAGGAGTAGTATTAAAATTTTGCCACTTAAGAATTGTATAAAATTTGTCTATCACTGTGAACTAGAAATAAAATGTGATAGATAGTAACGTCATCCTGACATATTACAGATAGTATATTTTAAAAGTTGTATTGCCAAACTGGCAAAAATTGTTTTTGTTATCGCCAACCAGGCGGGGAGATAGATAGTAAAGTCGTCAAACTGACGTGGGTAAAATTCCATTGTATTGCTTAACTGGCAAAGGTGTTTATATAGTTATAGCTAACGAGGCTTGTGAATAGTGAGTTAAAACGTCAACCCAACGTAGTATTAAATTATTTTGTGCCAACCTGGCAAAGTTGTTTAAATAATTCTCTCCAATTGGTTAGTGTAAATTTCGTATTCGAGAAATTAAATCTCGCCAGAAATTATATATTTTTAATACAAGTACGAGCTTTTAGATTGAATTTCGAAAGGAAGCCTATTAAAAGTAACTTGTGTCAACATGTCATTCTTAGCTAGGAGTAAAAAACAGGATTTAAAAGTACTAGCAGAAGAGTTAGGTTTAACCGTGAAACCTGAATTTAAGATTGCTCAATTGCATAAACTGATTACTGAAAGTCCCGATTATGATGAGGAGTTTACTCAAGAACTACTGGCTGCAACTAGAGAAGAAAGGGAACGAAAAGAAGAATGCAAAAGAGAAGAAAGAGAAAGAGAAAAGAAATGCGAAAGGGAAGAAAGAGAAAAGGAACGTGAAAGAGAAGAAAGAAAAAGAAGAGAAGAACGCGAAAGAGAAGAAAGAGAAAGAAGAGAAGAACGCGAAAGAGAAGAAAGAAAAGAAGAGCTTGAAAGAGAAGAGCGAATTAGAGCCTTTGAGCTACAGAAACTAAGCAATGACTGAAAAACAATGGCTGTAAAGCCACGTAGCATTTTTCAGTAACGGTTAACCTGAAACTACGCAGTTACCTGAGCAAAACCTTTGAAAATCAGAAATTCACACATGTCATGCCACGTTTTTGAACCCTAAAGAAGATGAAATAAGTTTATTTCTGGTGTTATTTGAGCGTCAAGCTAAAAATAATGAATATACCTGCTGAAAATCAAGTGACTCAACTTATTTCAATTGCTGCCTCCCGACAT